TTTTCTGTTCAGAGAGTTGTTGCTATTCTTTTCTTCGATCTCCTGTTGAGTTTGTAGGTGTTCAGAATGGTTTGATCCCTATCCAGCTGAATTCCTGAGACCAGACGAAATCCAGATCTCCTACTCCTCCGCCATCTTGCTCCATGCCTCTCTTTTTTTGAATATTTCTTTCTTTATTTTTGACTTTATGCAGTTTGATTATAATGTCAATGTAGTTCTGTTCAGATTTACTTCAGTTGGAGTTCTTTAAATTCTTTTTTTGTATGTCCATTACTTTGCTCAGATTTTGGAAAATTTTGGCCATTATTTCATCAGATAAGCTAAGCTCCTTTCTGGGATCCCACAGGCATATAAGGCGCTTAGGCTTTTTGAAATTCTCTTAATTTTTTGGTCTTTTGCACCTTTGGTTCCATGATATCAAATGACATGTCTTCCAGTTCACAGACTCTCCTGCCTGTCAAGTCTGATTTTGAACCCCTGTAATGAATGTTTCACTTTAGTTATGTGTGTGTGTATACACACACACACATATATATATATATATATTTTTTTTTTTTTTAAAGATTTTATTTATTTGAGAGAGAGGGAGAGAGAGTGCAAGCAGGGGTGGGGGCAGAGGGAGAGATAGAAAGAATTTTAAGCGGGCTGCATGCCCAGTGAAGAGCCCAACACGGGGCTCAGTATCACAACCCTGAGATCATGACCTGAGTGGAAACTGAAATCAAGAGTCAGACACCTAACCAACTGAGCCACCCAGGTAGTCCTAGTTATTACATTTTTCAGCTCCAGAATTTTTGTTTGGTTGTTTTGAAAGTTTCTTTATCTTTTTTGATATTCTCATTTTGTCCATGCATCATTTTCCTGATTTCATTTGATTGTGTATCTGCGTTTTCTTTTAGTTCATTGAGCATCTTTATGACAGCTATTAAAAATTCTGTCTGGCAATTCATAGATATGCTTCTTTTAGTGTTAGTTCTAGGATTTTATGTTGTTTTGATTGGGTCATGTTTCCTTGTTTCTTTGTATGGCTTACAATTTTTTGGCTGGAATTTGGGCAATTGAAAAACAACCACCATCTCAGTTTTTGCTACTGGCTTTTTTCAAGAGGAGATCTCCACCAGTCAACATGATCAGAGGTTCTAGGGCTTCTCAAACATTTTGTGATATCTTCCTCCCTCTAGTGTTGGTATTTGGAACTGTAGCTTTAGTGTGCTGCTTGAATCTGGTTTTGGTGGCTTTCGCCTGGCTTCCCATGGGGGCTCCTTTATCAGTTTAAATGTAATTTTCCCTGTATTTGATTTTTTTGAATTTTATTTTAATGCATTCCACATATTGAGTTTATTACAGTTTACTTAAAATTTCATTTAAAACTTCCTAAACAATTGAAAAAAAAAACAGGGTGTTTTGATTCTATTTTTCCACTCTCCTGACTTTGTCAAATAGTTTAATGTTACACATAAGTCACATGATTGCTTTATTGTGGTTTTGAACAGTTTTTATCCATTATTACATTTTCTGTTTTTTTTTTTCCAACTTTTACATAGATTTTGGGCTTTTTCTTTTCAGTTTCCTCCTCTTTCAGTATCATTCCCCTCAGATAATTGCCACTTTGACAGCTTCAAACTCTTGTTCAGAGACTTTCATTCATCTCCTTTTTCTGTTTGATTAAGTAGAATGCTTTTTGTGTTTTACTATTAGAAAATGAGGGCGCCTGGGTGGCTCAGTTGGTTAAGCGACTGCCTTCAGCTCAGGTCATGAACCTGGAGTCCCGGGATCGAGTCCCGCATCGGGCTCTCTGCTCTGCAGGGAGTCTGCTTCTCCCTCTGACCCTCCTCCCTCTCATGCTCTCTGTCTCTCATTCTCTCGCTCTCAAATAAATAAATAAATAAATAAAAAGAAAATGATTTCACCAGTCTTTTCTGATAGATTCTTTACCAAGTTAAGAAATACTTTTTATTTCTGGTTTATTTTATCAAGAATGGATAGTTTTATCTATTGCCATTACTATATTTATCAAGTGTTCCTATGTTTTTCTCTATTTTTAAAAAATTATTTATTTTAGAGAGAAGTGAGTGAGTAATTGGGGGAAGTTACAGAGGGGCAGGAAGAGGGAAAGAATCTACGGCATACTCTGCGCTGAGCATGGATCCTGACACAGGACTTGATCTCACGACCCTGAGATTGTGACCTGAGCTAAAACCGAGAGTTGGACACTTAACCAAATGAACCACCCAGGGGCCCCTATGTTTTTCTCTATGTTTAGCCACCCAGGGGCCTCTATGTTTAATTAGTAAATATGTTATTTCAATATATCACTTTCACATATCACATAATGTTGGACCATTAAAGAAATAAACTTTATTAGATCATATTGTATTAATTGGAAATTTTGTATCATAGAGTATGGTTTAGTTTATATTAAGAATCTTTGTAAGTCTATTTATAATTCCCAAGGCTCAACAATTAGGGAGTAATTATGTAAAATATTGATTGTATATCCATATAATGCTACTGCTATAGTATGGAACCATTAAAAGGTATTATCAAAGTGTTAACTACATGGGAAGTTTTCATAGATGTCTTTTTTATTTAAAAAATTTTTACTCATAGTTAAAGAATACATATCTCAATGTGGTGGTGGAGCTTGGGATGGGAGAAACAAGTTGGAGTTAAGGTGATAAATAGTCTGAAGCAAAAGAGAAGAGTCTTTAATATGCTTAAGTGCACAGGCTCCTAATCTCTGTGTTAACCTATATTCCGTCGACTTTTCTCTAAGCTTGGAACGAGGTGTCATTGCCAGAGTCACAACTTTTCCTTTATCATCACAGAGAAGGTTACTGCTGATCACAGTTAAACAGCAAACTTATACCCACCCAAATCATTTTATGTATTTGTATTTCTCTTGTTATTCCAAATAAAAATCCTGAATTCAAGTAGGAAATGTGTTTGAATTTGAAACAAATTCCAGCATGATGAGTAAGGAGCAGAATAGGAAACCAGGTTCAATGGGGCCATTGTGTTATAAATTCCCTCTCTAGAGAGCCACTCCCCAAAGATGATCTTCACAGAAAGTAAAAGGGCCTACTATTTCAGTTGTTCATTTGGTTCTGTGTAGATCATGAGACTATGATTCTCTTTTCAACTGTCAAGTTTCCTGTTGCTTTGTCAGTTTATGTAAGCAAGAGAACTCTAAGACGGCAAGCCTGAAGAGGTCCATGGCTGATTTCATAATGTTCTCCTAAAAGGGTCAGCAGTTCTATGAATCCCCACAGTAATGCATGGAACACTATTATATTTGTTCTTTTTCTGAGATCTGAGACTAGAGTTTTACTCTGATATAGAAGATGGTGTTCAACCATACAGATTTCTATGATACCCATCTTGTATCTTCAGGTAAGGTAAAGCCCACATGACTCAAAGTTCCTCTATTTCCTCCTTTCAGCCCTCTCTGGTTTTATATTATTTTAAATACCACTTAATATGTGAATTATGAAAGAATTCCTTCTCCAGAATCAAGGCCAGGTTTTTTCCTGAGAGCTTATAAAAAAAAAAAAAAGTTACTTCAAAAATGTATTAGAACTCTTAAAGTATTTGCCAGTTCCCCATTTGTATTGCTCTGTGTAGGATTTGGGGCCCTAGGTCAGGGAAAGTTACGGTAAGTGAATGTGAAAACACCTTCCTTCAGTGAACCTTCAAGTGATAGACTGCCTATCATGTTTCTTTCTGTTACTTTTAGGGGGTAGAAGACAAGGAAATTTTATTGTGCTTGAGATTGCAAAATTTGAGGAATAGCCTTTGTGATCACAGCCAACTTTGACATATCTTTATAAATGATATATATGGACTTTAATATCTACTAAAGTATTTCATATAAACTGTGATCTTAATGAAAATCTTGACATAGATTAGGAATTGATTGTAATTTTTACGGCAATGTTTGATGTGAGCACAATATTATAGGACTTGGTTCCTTAAGTTTCTTTGTAAAATAAGGTAGATTGCCTGTAACTATTTTTGAGTGTATTTTTACTGAAGAAAGGAATCGAAATGGGAAACCTTCTAATAGATTTTTATTTTAATAGATTTTATTTTAATATTCTAAATGAATTTTCACCTAACGTAACACAATAAAATTAAAATCAGATAAGTTACAAACATTTACATCTATATTGTCCTCAAATCAGCTCGACATATTTCTCTCACAAATAGATCAAAGAATATTAAGTATCAATATCATCAATATCTTTGTATGTTATGAACACTTAATTATTTATCTGTGTTTATTCAGTCCTTCTTCATCCACTGCTTGACCTAAAAATTGTAGGTCCTGGGACACACTTGACTATTGTCAATACCAAGTAACTTTGATTGTAAACCTTAGGATGGCAGAAGAGTTTTCATTTTTATTCACTGTATTCAGAACAGAATTATGAATGTATGACAATCATGGGAATACCACTGCATGGGTTATGGTACTTTGTTATTTACTGACACACAGAATGATTTGACCCTATGCAAGGGATCTGCCCTAATGAGTAATACTTTAAGGCTACTTGTAATATGGAAATCTGTTTTTTGCAGCTTTAAAAACAAATGAATATTCCAGTATAAATAATTGCTCTAATGCTGTGAGTAAATTCATTTTCTTGGGCTTCCCTTATACTTGGGAAATTCAGATTCTCCTCTTTTCAGTCTTCTCTGGGACTTATATTCTGACACTAACTGGAAATCTGTGCATTATCTATGCTGTGAGGTGGGACCATCGACTACAAACTCCAATGTACATCCTGCTGGCCAATTTTTCCTTCCTGGAGATCTGTTTTATCACCTCCACTGTTCCTAATATGCTAGCCAACTTGCTGTCTGAGACCAGCACCATCTCCTTCTATGGCTGCTTCCTCCAGTTCTACTTCTTCTTCTCCATGGGTACCACTGAGACCTTCTTCTTGTCTGCCATGGCCTTTGACAGATACCTTGCTATCTGCAGACCCCTGCACTACCCCACTGTCATGACTGTTCAGCGCTGCCTCAGAATAGGAGCTGGGTGCTGGGTGTGTGGCTTCCTATACTTCCTCTTGCCTATTTACCTCATCTCTCAACTCCTGTTTTGTTGTTCCAAGAAGATTGATCACTTCCTGTGTGACCCAGGACCTCTTATGAAGCTGTCCTGTGTGCCAGCTCCTGCCACTGAGACCATCTGTGCCGTCTATAACTCAGTCCTCATTTTTTCCACCTTCCTCTTCATTACCAGCTCCTATACCTTGGTGATCAGAGCTGTGCTGAGGGTCCCCTCAGCAGAAGGTCGGCATAAGGCCTTCTCCACATGTGGCTCCCATCTGGCCGTGGTGTCCCTGTTCTATGGCTCTGTCATGGTTGTATATGTAAACCCAACAGCAGGCAATCCAGCCGGGATGCAGAAATATGTGACTTTGTTTTATTCTGTGTTAACTCCACTTTTCAACCCTTTGATCTATAGTCTTCGAAATAAAGAGATGAAGGCAGCTCTGAGAAAGTTATTTAGAATTGTGAGATTTAGTCAGAGGCATGGAAGAAATATTTGAAGCACTTTTGTTCACAACTGATATAATGTATGTGAAATAAATAATTAAAAGCTTGATATTCAATTGTATTAATGGAATTTAAAAAGTATTTTTGTGTTGAGGAACAGTCATTGTGATAGAATGTTTATAAACCTAACTATATCCATCTCTTCGTTTTTATTATTAGGGAAAATTATTAATAGTAAAATCAAATTCAAATAAAAATAAAGGAAAAATGATCACTAATCTTTCTGACACTTAGATTTAATACTTGCTAAAATTTTGCTGCTAAGATCACACACACATGCATACATGCAGTCAATCTGCCCTTTATTTTACATTTATTTCTAAAATTTTCTCAAGTGAGTCAAAAGTTATGTATGCTGAATTTAGAAAGCAGCATTTAGATGTTAATTCTTGAGTTTAAGAATTCCTCATATCAGTGAGATAACATAATAAAAAAAGATATTAATTCTTATGTCAGTACTAAAAACAGGACAAGATATATTCTTACGAAAGGTGATTCATCATTGATCATAATTGCATTTCTTCCCACTTTCTCACCAGGATTTAGTGAAAACACTCTTAATATTTAAATCCAGATGGTTGCCATTAATTTTTTCCATTATAAATTTACTTCTAAGAATTGTCTTTTAAAAAAGCTCTATTTAGGATGAACCATGCTTTGCCTTTTCCTGAAACGCTATTTTTGCCTACTGTAAGGTAGGGTGGAATGACTAGTAACTGCCAGGTACTGCTGCAGTTGCTGGAGTTACTAGATTTACCTCTACTCACAGTCTCATGAATACTATATCGTGTACTCTCAACTAGAATTTTCCTTATCCTACACAGAAAGCCTTTACCCAGTAACTCTCCCTGTACCCTACTCTCCCTTCTCTCAAATTCTGGCAACTACTTTCCATATCTATGTATTTACCTATTCTGGACATCATATAAATGAAATCATACAATATGTGGCCTTTTGGGACTGGCTTCTTTCTTTCCCTTAGGATAATGTTTACAAGGTTCATTTACATCATAGCATACATATATCAGTACTTTGTTCCTTTTTACGGCTGTATAGCATTCCATCCTTTTTATAAAGCATTTTCTTTATCCATTCAACAGTTGGACATTTGAGTAGTTTCTGTTTTGTGGCTATTATTAGTAATGCTGCTGTGAACAGTCATGATCTTAATTTGAACCTTTTTTCACTTCCATAGGGTAGATCCCTGTGAGCAGAATTGCTGGGTCATAAGTTAAATGTAAATTGAACATTTTGAGGAACAGTCAGACTATTTTCCAGAGAGGCTACAATATTTTTATATCACACCCTCAATGTATGTAATGTGGATTTCAACTTTCTATTTTTTTTTCTTTTAAAGATTTTATTAATGTATTTGTCAGAGTGAGAGAGCACACACAAGCAGGGGGAGCAACTGACAGAGGGAGCGGCAGGCAGAGGGAGAAGCTGGCTTCCCCAATGAGCAAGGAGCCTGATGTGGAACTCGATCCCAGGACCCTGGGATCATGACCTGAGCCGAAGGCAGATGCTTAACCCACTGAGCCACCCAAGCATCCCAACTTTCTATGTATTTTCACCAATATTTGTTATTTTTTGCTTTTTTTGACTTGAGTCATCCTTCTGGGTATGAAGTAGTATCTTTTTATTTTCATTAATATTTCCCCTAATGTTATTGGTCATTGTTTCAAGTGCTTATTTTGGCCATTTGTTTGTCTTCTTTAGGGAAATATATATTCAAATCCTTTGAGCACTTTTAAAATGGGTTGTCTTTTTATTGTTGAACTATAGAAGGTATTAATAATATATTTTGGACATAAGTCCCTTACCAGATATGTAATCTGCAATTATTTTCTCCTAATCTATAGGCTGCCTTTTTACTTTCTTGAATATATCCTTTGAAGTTTTGACCTTTTTTGTACTTTTTAAATATATTTTTAAATTTATTTTTATTTAAATTCAAGTTAGTTAACCTATAGTGTATTATTAGTTTCAGGGAAGAGTTTAGTGATTCATCAGTTACATATAACACCCAGTGCTCATTGCATCAGTTGCCCTCCTTAATGCCCATCACCCAATTATCCCACCCCCCCCACCCACATCCCCTCCAAACTCTGTTTGTTCCCCATAGTTAAGAGTCTCTTTGATTTACCTCTCTGTTTTTATCTTATTTTTCCTTCCCTTCCCCTATGTTCATCTGTTTTGTTTCTTAAATTCCACACTTGAGTGAAATCATATGGTATTTGTCTTCCTTTGAGTGAATTATTTCATTTCACATAATACCCTCTGGTGCCATCCATGTTGTTGCAAATGGCAAGATTTCATTCTTTTTGATGGCTGAGTAATAATATTCTATTTTTTATATATACACCACATCTTCTTTATCCATTCATCCATCAGTGGACATCTGGGCTCTTTCCATATTTTGGCAATTGTGGACATTGCTGCTATAAACATTGGGGTGCATGTGCCCCTTTGAATCACTATTTTTGTATCCTTTGGATTAAATACCTATCAGTGCTATTGCTTTTAGTGTCAAGTACAAGAAACCATTGTTCAATCCATAGTCACAAAAATCACTCCTCTGGGTATATTATTATTTTTCAGTGAAGATCATGTTTACACCTTTTGAATTTATTTGGACATTTTAATAGGAATTTGTTAAGAATGAAATCATATGCAAGTTCCAAATAACTACTTTGAAGTAAAACCTCCCCGAACACTATTTGGTATGTTCAGGTGTGTTTCACAGTTTATAAAGCCATGTGAGTCACTGCATAATCATCTGTTTCTTGTTTTGCAATCTTGGTATTCTTGAAGAGATTATCTTGTATCACACATTTTCACGTGAAATCTATTTGATTATTTCTTTCAGCTTGTCAAGTCTTGATATAATCTTTTAAAACTAAATTATTTGCAATATTTATTGTCAAATATTCTCAGACATTTTAAATATTGGTTCAGGGTCACAGAATAGGATGAGAAATAAATTGTTGAAAAAAAGAAATAGACGGGCGCCTGGGTGGCTCAGTTGGTTAAGCAACTGCCTTCGGCTCAGGTCATGATCCTGGAATGCCAGGATTGAGTCCCGCATCGGGCTCCCTGCTCGGCAGGGAGTCTGCTTCTCCCTCTGCCCCTCCCCCCTCTCATGTGCTCTCTCTCATTCTCTCTCTCTGAAATAAATGAATAAAATCTTTAAAAAAAAAAAAGAAAAAAAGAAATAGAAAAAGGCTAATTGTGGAATATGTCATAAAAGGAAGGATAGAGCTAATAGAATTATTATAATAATTATAGTGAAATATACTAATAATGTTCTTTAAATATAAAGAAAACAAGAGATGGGTAAAAAAAAGGCCTTATTGTGTCTAAACTATTGGTAATGTTTTCAAAGCTTTTGGTTAATTTTGCTTCCATTGCTATATGAGGAATAATTTTCACACTTTCATATGTAACTGTTTGAAAACCATAGTTTAATGATTTGATACAGTTTGTCATCCTTTATTTTTTAGCATTAGTATTCTAGGTTTTTTTTTAAAAAAAATTGATGTATTGGTATAATTAAAATGTTATAATAGGAACATTTCTGATGGTGGCCATCTTGCAGAATATCACATGCTTATTGCTGTTTGAGGAAGGAATTAAAGCAGTTGTTCACTTCACCCATGTGACATTCCTTGGGATAAAGGGATGATGACTTCATGGATTTAGACTTGTTTCTGACATCGAGAGATACACATTAAATATGGATAACTTTTTAAGTTTTTATTTAAATTCCAGTTATCATATAGTGTAGTATTAGTACAATACCCAGTGCTTATCACAAGTGTACTCCTTAATCCCCATCAACTTTTGTATGCCAGTTATACCTCAGTAAAGCTGTTTTTGGAAAAAGAAAACAAAGTAAAATGGATTGGGTGTACACAGCATCCTGAAAAGAGTATCTCTAACATTTTTAGGCTGTAACACTGCCAGCATTATGCTTATTGCTTGTTCCGCATTACACCATGGAATCTTTATTTTTTTCTTGAAGTATAATTGATACACATTGGTACATTAGTTTGAGGTGTACAACATAGTAATTTGTCAAGTCTATACATTATCTATGGTACGCCACAAGTGTAACTACCATATGTTACCATACAATGCTGTCATAATACCACTGACCATATTCCCCGTGCTGTACCTTTCATCCCCATGACTTATTCATTTCATAACTGGAAAACTGTATCTCCCACTTCCCTTCACCCATTTAGCCCTTCCACCCATATCCCATCCCGTACCCCCACCCCCCCCCCCCCCCCCGGCTACCATCAGATTCTTCTCTGTATTTATGGGTTTGTTTCTGCTTTTTTTTTTTTTTTGCTTGTTTGTTTGTTTGGTCTTTTATATTCTATATATAAGTGGAATCATATGGTACTTAACTTTCTCCATCTGACTTATTATGTCACTTAGCATAATATCCCCTAGCTCATCTAGCTGCCACAAATGGCAAGATCTCATCTTTCTTATGGCTGTTATAATATTCCATTATAGTGTATGTATATCACCCCTGTGTGTATGTACATGTATGTATGTATATCATCTCTTTTTTACCCATTTATCCATGAACACTTAGGTTTCTTCCATATCTTGGCTATTGTAAATAATGCTGCAATAAACATAGGGGTGCATATATCTTTTTCAATTAGTGTTTTCAGTGTTTTTTGATGTGGAGGTGGGAGGGAATGAATATCCAATAGTGGAATTACTGGATTCTATGTTATTTCTTTAGTTAATTTTCTGAGCAACCTCCATACTATTTTCCACAATGGCTACACCAATTTACATTTCTAATAGCAGTGCCCAGGGGTTCCTTTCTTCCTACATTCTCACCAACACTTGTTATTGTCTTTTTTATTCTAGCCATTCTGACAGTGATATAATCTGAGGTGATACCTCATTGTGGCTTTGATTTGCCTTTCCTTGATGAATAGTGACATATGAATCTTTTCATGTGTCT